GTTAATCCTTTACCTATCACTCTTTATGCCAGCCTCCACTCAGTATTATTAAGACACAGAATGAGCATGAATAAATCTTTATTATCTGTTCTTATAACACTGCCAGTACTATGCAACAGCAGCACATAACTTCTAATAAAAAAAAAACAATGTGGTGTTAATTGTTGAATAAATGTTGTCACTTGAATAAAAATCATGTCTCATAAAATTAAAAAAATCAGTCACTTGGTCTGTTTACAGATGTTACATGGCTACTAACGGACTGAACCTTTATTTAAATCTGGCCTGGACAATACAGGATATCGAACTGTTGTTTTTTTTTTTTTGAAGAGGGTTAAAAGTTGAGTCACAAGATATCAGTTTTCATCATTATCATTTGTCAGTTCATTAAAAACACTTCAACAACAATAAACTACTTCTGCTCCCAGCATTACTTCTAGTATGACCATTGAACTGAAGCCTCTTAGAAATCAATCACTTAACAGGAGGTTGAGATCAAATCATGTTTACATTACTAATATCAAATGGAAATCTTGAGCGCCTCTCACTACTTCTTTCCAGTTGAATGGAACAGAAACAATTAGAATAAAAACTCACACTAGATGTCAGAGTTGTGCTCCAGCATTAACAGATGCTGGTCTACAATATAAGGACAGGAAGACAGCAGGAAGAAGTGTTATCCCATAAAATGCAGAGCTTCAGTTATTAAATAGGTCAAATGTTTAGTCAAATAGAAAAGGCTGATGCAAGTCTGCTTTCATTTGTGCTGTGAAACATGCCAAAGTGCATGCAGGGTGAAAACAAAGTTTATTATAAATATGACTGCCATAAAAAAGGGGGGAGAAATAATAAAACATAAATTGTCTAATTTTTTACACAGTCCTTCGAATCTTTGCTTAATATTTTGTAAGCCACACTTTTAGGTCTCTGAAGAAACCACAGCATCAACACCTCACCTTAACTGATAAGGTAACTTTGTGCAATCTTTAGCAATTCAAAACAACAGCTCTGTAAACCCTGATGAATGTACCAGTTCAATGACGTTACTGCCCTGTATTAACCTGTAACACATACACTGACGTATACGGTTTGCTGTCTGATATGATTTTATATCAGAACTTTTTTTTTTTAACATAAAGCAGATAAAGGTGTTCAGAGTCATTTAGAGTTTAGTAAGTTTAGGAGTTGTTTCCTCTCCACTATCAGCACTGTTTGCAGCACCTGTAGCAGAGTAGCATTACAGTACAGTAGGTCATGGTGACTCAGTAGTGTCTTAGGAGTAATAAGCTTTTGTAAGGCGTTACTGGAAAGTTTTGAATGGAATCCCCCCAAATGACCCTTTTCAGCATCATAAACGAGCTGTACGTATACACTTTTTGCTACATTTAGGAAGTCACTTTTATTTTATTTTGAGTTACTGAATGTGATCTATTTAACTGAATTCTTCTCAGCTTTCTACTGTATTGTTGTTCTTTTATTGTATTTAGGGGATTGACAGAACTAGAAATGAGTACATCAAAGCTTGAGAGGTTTGGAGACAAAGTTAGAAAGGTAATGCTGAGAGGGTTTGGACATGTAGAGCAGGGACCGTGGAGAAAGGATGATGATGATGGAGCTGAAAGGTAAGTGGAAAAAGAAAAACCCAGAGAAGTTTTATGGATGGACAGGGAGATTGTTGGTGTGACCCTAGAGCAGGGGTAGGGAACTCCAGGCCTCAAGTCCTGCAGGTTTTAAATGTGTCCTTGATCCAACACTGCTGATTAAATGGCTAAATGAGCTCCTCAACATGTCTTGAAGTTCTCCAGAGGCCTGGTAATGAACTAATCATTTTCAGATTCAGGTGTGGTGACCCAGGGTGAGATCTAAAACCTGCAGGACACCGGCTCTCTCCCTACCCCTGAACTAGAGGCTAAGAATGTGGAGGATGATGTGCTGTGGTAACCCCCGAAAGTGAACACCCAAAAGAAGGAGAAATATTAATAATTTTACCTGTTGAGCTTAATTGAGCTCATTTGTTTTCTCTTTAATTGGGCTATTTTGTTGAGCTATTTTAATTCATTCAAGCTATTTTGTCACAGGAGTTTTACTGTTTTGGCTCCAGCAGCTATCGGTATCAGTTATCTTGTAAATTATTTCGGCTCTAAAAAAATCTACTTTCATGTGTAGATTATGTTGAAGAATATCAGAAATGTGCGATTGTGTTTATTATAGAGCTCATCATGATAAAAATGTTCTCGTCCATCATATTACAATACAAAAGAATTCATATATTAAGCAAACCCTCAATATTTTAGACAGAAAGTAGGCTTTACATTCGGAGAGTTGAACTGAATCGAATTAAGATTGGACAGGTGTACCTAATAAAGTGACCACAAAGAAAACGCAATCTCTCATGAAGGTAGATACTGGCTTCACTTCATGAGATCACAACCCACAAAGATTAGAAACTACCGACTTAAGTCTTATAATTATTTGCTTCATACGTACAAACACCATCAAAAGAAATCTGTTAGTGACAAAGACAGATATAAAACTAAAGTAAAATTCATGTTTTAAAGACTTTTCAGTCTTAACAGTCTAAAAATGAAAAAAAAGAGACTTGCAAGTAAGTATGCAGAGGTCCTGACACAACTCAGAACCAAATGTTCACCAACACTTAAAATTAACAGAGAATAACAATAATAAAAATAAAAAATAATGCGTTTTCTAATTTGAGACTTAAACAACGCCAACTATTCATCCTAAAGGCATCTGATGGAGGGTAATGAGAGTTAAAGCACTTTAAAGAAAATCAAACACAGTAAATACAGTCATGGGTGTTTTTCACTTTACATAATTTCACTGATTAAGAGACAATTTGTGTTAAATGGTTCATTTATCCAGCTCTATGGGAGTGCAGAAGAAATGAGAGAAACAAGAACTAAACACATTTATACATTCAAAATAAATTTGTAAAATATGCACATTTATAGGAAAACATCACAGAACTGATTGACATGACAATTTCCCACTGTAGGAGATACAAAACACAGAGTACGTAAACATTAGGCTACATGCTGTCGGTTAAATAAGAGTGAATATCCTTCATGTTACATGACAGTTAGCTTCCATTCATCACACCCCAGTCAGCTGCATTTATGTCAGTGGAGGAGAGCTGGGAGGATGCATGCACTCTGACTGAAGGTCTGCACAACATAATCAAATGTGACATAAAAATGTGAAATAAAGAAGAGACAAAATAGTTGTTTTTAACATTTACTGATGTTTTTCTTTTTTTTGGTATAGGTATACACTGTGTTGCTGGGAGCGGCCAGCCCAGGTTTGAATCTGACCTCTTTCTCTCCCTCCACTTTCCTGTCACTCTTCACTGCACTTATCTAATAAAGCCAATAAAGCAACACACACATAACTTGAGTTAAGATTATTTTTAACTGCTGACGTTGAACCAGGTTTTGGCAAATAAAGGATTCCTACATTTCAACAAAAATAAAAGAACAAAAAATCACGTCATGTCACTCACGGGTTAATTTCTACGCAAACAAATTAAACTATGTTTGTTTCTGTTTCTTGGTACATAACAAATTTTCTAAGGTTTCCGACTTCACAGGTTACAGCAAATAATCCTACACGAACAGAGCTTTAATTAACCGGGGGTACATCCTGTAGCTACCTCCACTAAGGAGGCTGTGCTTGGTTAATTTGTCAGTTTGTTCACAGGATTAAGGAAAATGTTACTGATTTTATGCGCATGAAATCTTTACCAGAGGTTTAGAAGTGATTATAGCGAAAAACTGGACGTTTTGTGCCATATATTCACTAATATCAAAAGCAAAATAAGAAAATAAATGTGTAATATGGCCTTCAAGTTCTCAAGAAATTATCAGAACATTATCAGGATCAAGAGATTCAGTTTAGGAGGGAATTTCCAGCTGTGTTGGTGATACGTGGTTTCAGACTGCTCATTATATTCTGTAACTGATGGATATGAGTTGCAGTCATACAATGGACACGATTACTTGCTTAAGCTGTTTTGCACTTAATAAGAATAGTACTGATGTTTCCAGAACACTTTAGGAAATAAAGTGTTGGTTGATACAATGTTATTTTCATTTCTTTCCTTTTACATTAGATTTGCTTCATTGCTACTTATATGTCACATGTACATGCCCAAAAGTCTGTAAACTGGCAGCAGGTTTCACTTAAGAATGGCAACTAAATACAAAATTATATAAAAAAAATCTGAAATGAAAACAATACCAGACAGACAGAAGAATCCAAGCCAGTGAACAGTGATCCTGTCATTTCCAACATTACTTCACCAAGGATGGTGATCAGTCATAATTAAAAGTGATGAGTAGTATGAAGTTATACTAATCATACTCGAGAGGCACAAAATGTCTTCAGAGAGCGTGACTAGACAAGTACAAGTAAACACTCCACCTGGCAGTCTCTGTTCAGGTTAACCTCTGTCAGTGCGCCCCAGGGCAGCTGTGGCTACAATGTAGCCATCACCAGTGTGTGAATGTGTGTGTGAATGGGTGGATGACTGAATGTAGTGTAAAGCGCTTTGGGGTCCATAGGGACTGAGTAAAGCGCTATACAAATACAGGCCACTTACCATTTAAATCAAAACATGAAAGACAAGAAGAGTTTTATGAAACCTTTTAAAAGAATAAGACAATTAAAGTTGGTGGAAACAATCTGTTACAGATAAACACGATAAACTACATTTCTCAAGGTTATACAATGACAACCATTTCAAGACAGAAACAGCCTCTGGAAACGAGCAGTCTGAGCTTTCCACGCTCACAGCTTGAGAGCTTGTCTTCAAGGCATCCACCGTCGCTTCCGAAAGGTTAGTGGATTTAATTGTCTCAGCTGCCGTCGCACAGGTTTGTCTTGTGGAAAACTTATGCAGACGTTTTTCTCGCTTCACCGTTTTTCTACTTCCATTCAAATCAGCTGCAGACATTTGAAATGTGAAGGAAAGTGTGTTCTTTTTAGGTCTTTTTAAATGTTTCTCTGTCGCTTTCCAGCCTCAGCGAGAGGCCCATGATGCCCGGTCGTTTCAGGCTCCACTGGTCAATCTGTCTCTGCCGCTCCTGCTGCTCGACCTCCGATTCGCTCGATGAGCTGCCGGTATTGCTGCTGCTACTGCTACTGCTGCTGCTGCGCCCACAACCTCCGCCTCTGCTGCTACCGTCGAAAGTGAAGCAATCCTTCTGCTTCCTATCAGCCTTCCCCCTCTCCCCTACATCTACTCCTTTTTCCTCCTTCCCTCTCCTTGTATCCTTCACCATCCCACCACTGTCCTCCTCAGGTTTGTCAGCCATTTCCATTTCGATCGGGGCCTGCTCCGGCCCCAGCACGGCTCCTCTGTGGTCCATATCGACCCACACTGGCCCCGGAGGAGGCTCCAAACTGGTGTACTGGAGCATCGGCTGTTGGGGCTGGGGGTCCACTTGTGGAGGAAGGTTCTGCCTCTCTGGATGGAGGTACTGAGTTTGGTGTTGGAGGTGATGAAGCGGCTGAAGTGGGTGCTGCAGAGGCTGGTGCTGGAGCTGGTGGTGCTGCTGCTGCTGATGATGGTGGTGATGTGAGTGTTGTTGATGGTGCTGCTGCTGATGATGATGAGGATGATGCTGCAGGTGATGATGGTGGTACTGATCAACAGTCTGCTTATCCACATTACGGACGACCTCTTTGGGCTGGTTTTTAAGGAACTTCTCAAACTTCTTGGAGGCTTTTTTGTTCGTCACAAACCAATCCTGTTGAGATACACGCAACATGAAGAGGTGCTATTATATAACATACACTAAACTTGCATTATTTATTATTTATTACATTATAGGCCAGAAGGGGGCAGCTCGTCTGTTTGCAAAAAGAAATCTGATTCTGCTGTTGTAAGTCTGAGACATCACTTTATTCATGACTTTAGTAAAAACTTTCCTGATGAGTTTAAACAACTACACTATGGAGCTGCTCATATCCAACCCCTGATATAGAGTATATGCATTCATGGCAATGTCATCTACATATAGTTACACAAAAAAGGCTCAAGCCAGAAACTTGTGAACTTTTCATTACCTGTGAATGGACAGAGTTGATGTGGTATTTCACTCCACTTTCAGAGTTAAACTCTTTATTGCAGATCAGACATCTGTATTTACCGGCCTCAAAGTCGCCCTGAAATCAGATCAGGAAAAAGCAGCCTTGAAAAGATTATAAGAATTTAATGCAAATAAAGTATTAACTGCGCATAGTGCACTGACTTTTATATTTCACTTAATGGTCTGAGTAACTGACTGAATAATTTTACAAATACACACATTTTCAAAATTCTGTTCAAAGCAGCTTTTACAAACTTCATTCTTTAATTTACAGGAATCATCCCAAAAAATTGAGGAGCTGACTAAAAGCAGATGTAAATGCCGGTCCAGATGAAGCATTAGAAGGGTTTCATGCTAATACATTGATGAGTTTCAACTTAATTATACCTGGTGTCATTTAATGTATTGCTAATCCTAGAAAGTTTGTAAGTTTGTTATTTCCTAAACAAAGAAAAAAAGAGACAAACCCTCGTGCAGAGTCCCAGATGAGCTTTGAGTCCAGACACACTCGTGTAAGTGCAACCGCAACCCTGACGACGACACACATTATGTTATATTATGGGCTTTGAATACTGTGTTAACCATGTTATGGACATCTGCTCCCCTTGACATCATACACATCCACAGGGATTACTTGTACATACACTGACCTCTCTATTTGAAACTTCGGCCATGTTTACTATGAATGTTCACCAATGCAACAGTGTATATATGACATAAAATAAAATATAAAATATCTCCATATATCTCCTTAAAAACATACATTTACAAAGAGAAACATTTCAGGTTATTGAAAAAATAATAATAATAATGGATTGCATTTATATAGCGCTTTTCTAGGCATCCAAAGCGCTTTACAATGCCACTATTCATTCACTCTCACATTCACACACTGGAGGAGGCAGCTACAGTTGTAGCCACAGCTGCCCTGGGGCAGACTGACAGAAGCGAGGCTGCCATATCGCTCCATCGGCCAACAAACACCAGTAGGCAGTAGGGTGAAGTGTCTTGCCCAAGGACACAATGACCAGGCCAGACAGAGCTGGGGATCGAACCGGCAAAGTTATGCTAATTACACTTGTTCTTGACATCTTGATCCAATTACTCAGATAAGAAAATAAATAAGTCTGCTGATTTCAATTAAACAGGTAAAAATAAGACTTGTTGTTTTCTACCTGGTTGGGGCACTGGACTTTCCTCTGCAGCTTCACCTCATTCTTCCACTTCCTCAGCACCTCCTGGCTGAAGGCAGGGAGGCCGGGTCGGGCATATTTCAACTGAAAAGAGCATCAGGAGAAAGAAGAAACGCATTTATGTTCAGTACATACTCAATTTTAGTGAATCTTCTCTTACCTTCTTGTCATCTGGTACCAGGTCGGACTGAAACTTCCTCTTGGGCCAGTCTTTGGGCAGTTCATTGTTGGCAATCTCAGCCAGGTGGAAGTTGGCCACCTGGGCTGAGGCTCTCTGCACCCTGCCGCTGGGCGTCCTCTCTGGATTAGCCTCCCTCTGAGCCTTCAGTGCCTCATCTTCCTCAGTCTTCTGTGGGGTCTGGATGAACCAAGAGAATAAACTTAATGGAGATGAGGCACAAAGAGTTTCACAGACACTCGAATTAAAAGGACAGGTGACAAAACAAGGCTGGCATCTTGTCTAATTGTCTATTAATTTAAATTTGAATGAAGAGTATTAACGAATTACAATTTTTATAGTATTTAGTGGCTTCGATGACATATATGACTCACAGGAGCATGCTCTGATTTCAGGTGATACTCCAGACCAGCCTTGGATTTATACGTCTTCCCACAGTGAGAGCAGTTCAGCAGCATTTTCTCCAGCTCGGACTCCTCCTTTCCACACTTTTTCATGTGATACACGTAGCCCATGATGCTGGTAAATGCAGCGTTACAACCCTATAAAGAAAAAAAACCCACATTTTTTCACACCACCAGTTTAATCTTTTATCTTACTTTCATCAAATCTCCTTTCTTAAAACAGCACAATACATGCAAATTTTACCTCTTTGGAACATTTTAATTTGCCCAGTCTCTTCAGGATTTTACGTAGCTTGTCTTTTATAGCACGATCATCCAGGTCCTTGGTATCATCAGCTGAAGGCTACAAAAGCAGGAAAAGGTAGCAACAAACTCAGTAAAACCATAATAAACTAAACTAAACTAAACTAAGACTGAAAATGCTTATTTCTGAGTAGTCTTACCAAGTGGCTGTGGTCAGCCATGATGTGATACTTCATCCCAGTTGAAGACTTGAGCTGTTTCCCACAGTGTTGGCAGGTAAAAGGTTGCTACAGATAACAGAGTGACACAGTGACTTTTTCATTTGGTAAACATTTACACCAGGAAAGAACACAAGCAGATTTTATGTTATGGAAATATTAGTCAGACTAGGTTTTCCCAGTGCAAATGTAAAGCACAAACCACACTACAGACCCATTCATTTTTTAAAAACTTGATGCCTAATATGAAGAGTTTGTGAACTGGTTTCAGTGCAGAATGTGTTTCATAGAAAATTGACATCCTGGAAAAAATTATAAAAAAAACACACAAAACATAATTTATTTACTCCAATTATTCCAAATAATGTCATTACTAGTAATAACTAATTATTAGAGTCTTCCAGGAGAAACAGTAAAGCAGAAGGCTCCTGCTAGATGGTCCAAAACTCTAATATCACTATTATGCATGAAGGGCTCACCAGTCGGCAGTTCTCCATGTGTTTCTTCAGCCCCTCCACAGTCTTCCTGCTCACACTTTTACACTTTGGACAGGTGACTCTTCCTTTGGCAACGATCTGGAGCTGCCAGCGTTCCTCTTGGCTTCCTAGTTGATGTCAACAAATAGGCAACTTTTCCTTTTTTTTTTTACTTTACACGACGCACAGAGCTTCACAAAAAGAAGCAGCTTACTCCTTACCTATTTTAATATACAATAATATTTTGATTAAATTACAGATTATCTTCAGCACCCACTTTTAATCATTCAAATTTAAAAAACGTTTTAGCAACAACTTTTTCAATTTCTTACAATCAGTTTAAATCAAGATAAAATACCCCCCCTCCCCCCGAATCCCCTTTAAAACTCATACTTGTGTGAAGCAAGAAAAATGCAGTCAGATAAAGCCTATTGACAGTTTCAATCAAAGAAGTGCACATAAAACATAGTGTAATAAGATTACTTTCTATTAAATCACATAAATCTGTGGTAAACAGCTGCTGCTCTGACCTGGAGGATAAGTAGGAGGTTCCTTCTTAGCCGGCAGGATTGAAGGTTTCTGGTCTTCGTTCAGCTGAGCTGTTGAGGCCTGACCAGCACTGGCAGCATCTGAACCTGCAAGAGTCACACTGAATGACTGGATGCAATCAAGCTTATTTTTCTTTTTATACTATTTTATCATAATTATTATTTAATAAGGTCAAATTTCCTTATTGATTAGATGCAGAGACTGCTACCAAAGTTTGTCATCTCTCCATTAGCAGCATGTAGAATTTTATATTAAATTACTTTAGAAATAAAAGATAAAAGATACACAGATATATACAAGTATATACAATGTTTTCTTTTCAATGCATGAATGCTTGTTGGTTGTTGAATTATGATTACAGCATTCCTGCTACAGAAAGCCTGGCTCTTAGAGAAACCTCACGATAAGTTACAATGAGGGGAAAATGCTTCTCTGTAATGATTCTCTGATCAAACAGTGAAACAGTCATTGGCTATGGTGTGCCAGACGCTCTGCCAAAACAAATTAGTGGCTGATAGTACTGCTGCCAAGACTGAAAGGAAGGTGGTGCACTTGAGAAAACGGCCTCATATTGTTTTCCCATAATGGTTAGGGACAAACTGTGAAACAACTTTTCAAATTCCTGATTTATGTCTAACTATAGTTCTGATTTATAAAGTTACTTCAGTCCTAATTATTATTAATATGGAAATAATATTCAGTTTAAGACAAAAAAGCAGCATGAAACAGATATGTGAGATAGAAATATAACATATAGAGTTTTCAGTTTTGCATTAAATGCAGACTCCTTGAAAACTTACAGGATTCTCTGCCCTCTGGTGGCTGTGTGAAGTTATTGGGTGTGGGGCTTGGCTCCATCTCTGGCCTCTGGACCTTTTTCATGTTCAAGTCTTAAAAATTAGACAAAATCAAAAATCATAACCTAAATGATGACATCTACTCTGCACATATATCGCCTGCACTTCTCTTATAAGCTGTCACTCGCACATGTGTTATAGGTTCTGGTTTTCGCTTGTAGCGTGCAGATATCATGAAAGAAGCTCATATTATTTTACGACATTTCACAGTGTTCAAAACAAAATCAGTCCATATGGTCATTTTTACCAGGTCTCCACACGTTCCCTCTATCCCTGTTTGTGTTGTTCCAGGTTTGATCTGGGCCTCGGCCAGTACCCCACCCTTGCTCCGGCCCTGACGAGTCCCGGTCCCTTCCTGGATCTCTGCCTCCATTCCAGGCCTGATCCTGTCCTTGATCTCTGCTAGCTGCCCAGCCCTGATCAGGACCCCGCTCCCGGCCTGTCATCCAGGACTGATCCGGCCCACACTGAGTTCTGTCCCTGCCTGGAATCCATATCTGGTCCTGACTGGAGTGTCCCCCTCTGTCTCTGCCAGAGTTCCACACCTGGTCCTGGGGTCGGTCTCTGCCTGGAGCCCAGGCGTCAGGTCCTCGCTCCCTGCTGGAGTTCCAGCTCTGATCATGAGCCTGGGACTGCTCCCCGCTAGCTTCTGGGCCTTGAGGCCAAACATCCTTCGCGACCAGTCTTGGAGGGAGCCTTGCAGTGGGCGGACCTATGGACCCTGGGTCTGACCCATTGGCCAGGCCATCTGATGACATCACAGAACAGCTGGTTGTCGAGTAATCTACTGTTCCCAGGGAAACACTCTGGAGGTCCTCATACCTAATAAAAAAAAACAAAAAACTTAAATTAAAAGTTTCTAAAATGCTGATGCAGACAGGAACCTCATTTGGTTCTGAACAGATTATTTAACTGTAGTGTGGGTCAGAGGGTGTAAATAAAAGATATATAACAATATAGTGGATTTTCTGTAACCACTACATCAAAAGTACTAATGGTCATTAGAAACTACCCTGTCTGTAAACATCGAGTGTCCAGTCTCATAAAGTGCACCGTTAAACTCATACAGACATGCATGGTTCAACTCGTCCACGTATCTGTTGTTGCAGTGTTGTATGCTACGTTCTGGATTTCCTGCAATACTTTGGACTCATGATAAATGAGGCAAATATACTTGTTTTCGGCTGAGAGTTGCGTACCTGGAGTCAAGTGTTTTGACCAACACATGAAACCATAACTTTACTATATATTAATAGATATTGTGAGTCTTTATTATATAGCGTGCCATGTGGAAAAACCTGTTGTAACATTTGAGAGTGAGGTCTATTTTGAGCACCTGACAGCTTGTTTTTTTCTTCTCATTTGTAAAATCTTTCGACCAGTTTGCTTCATAACCGGCACATTACAGTTTTCTACACCGTGTCAGGCTTTTCATAACCAAATCATGTCCATAACACAGAGGTAGCCCCTTATTTAAGAAAACAAATAAGAATAACTTAGATATCATTCATGTGTCTGACACAGCTCATTTGCAATGATTTTCTTGTTATGATGAAATAAGTTCTTCGATTAGTTTTGGCTGGTCCTTCTGTGGTGCCTCAGTGACTACTACAAACTGTCATCTGAAGCAATGAAAAACTGCAGTAAACAGTGTGTTTTTGTAGGGAAATCGTAAGTACAGTGAATTGTCATTGGCGATATGACCCAAAAAAATCATATCTCGATATTTTTTTAGCTGGATGGCGATATACGATATATATCTCGATATTTCTTTTTAAAGTCATAAAGTAAGAACAAAAAGAGAGTTCTTAGTCACACTGTGTCCCAGATGTCACACAGGCACTTTTATTAACATACAGCGTAGATGTACATGAAGAAATTACTCAAAAATAAATTATCAGCATTTATTAAATAATAATCTCCATAAATAAAAGAAAACAATGTTGTTTTTGTGCATAACAAAAAGCTCACAATTGTGCAGTCAAAATGTAAACTAAAAGACAATGAGCATAATAACAAAGACAGACAGATTTCACAGCTGCTCTGTTCCCAACTTCTACAGCGTGACTGACAGCCTTGAGTTTGAAATCCTCTTTGTAACCATGTCTCTTAACAGGTGCCATTTATGGCCCTTATACACACACAATACGGTAATATTACGTTGAAGCAGACTACATATCACTCCGCGAGGCTCCTCGGTAGCCGTAATGCTCCGACAATCCATCAAGCGCTGCAGCTCCGTAGCTTACCAAAGTCGTACTAAAACATTTTTTGACAGATTGCTGAGCGCCGTGTAGCACATAAAATCGGTTCGCGGTCAGTAAGCACAACCAGAATTCATACATAAGGCGCACTGTCGATTTTTGAGAAAATGAAAGGATTTTAGGGGCTGCATGTCGTTAGCGCAGTTAGCTCATTAGCGCAGTTAGCTCGTTAGCGCGGTTAGCTCGCTAACACATTGACGCCGTCCAGCCCTATGCACGGGGCGATCTGCGGTAAATCGTTAACGGAGATTTGCCGTGTTCATCTTGTCATTGCCTGCAGGTGAAGCTATGGGGGTGGAGGGGGAGTTGTGTTCAGTGAAAGAGAGGCGAGGCCGAGTAACGTTGCGTAGAGACAAAAGTGGACGAAAGAGAGGCAAACTTGCGGCTCCACAAGTATAATTATAACGTAACATAGACCATATCGATATAAACAATATTGTCACATCTTATATCTCGTATGAAAATATATCGATATTTTTAAAAAACTCGATATATCGCCTAGCCCTATGTTTTTGCAACAACACAAAATAAATGAAGAGTACAACATGAAACAATATACGTGTTAATGTCACAATTTTGTCATATCGCACAGCCCTAGTGGCTACATCCAATCTGATCCCCCTTCAGGCCATTATAAAGAATACAGGTGCAAGCAACTCCACCTTTTGCGTCAATATTTAGGTTCATCTTTTATATACAGTTGCTATACTGCACAATATGAACAGAATGCAGCTAAATAAATGATGAACTATTTGTTTATTAATATAATACAAACATATATGCTTTTGAGCAGCACTTAAAAAAGTACTTTGCACATAAATTCTGTAGCAAATTGAATTTAATTAATTAATTAAACAAAGTTTAAACAGCCAAAACCAAGAAGGAGCACAACAGTGGAGCCGGGTTTTATGATTCTTTTAGATCTAATCTTATTTTATTTTCATTAATCACTCATTAATGATGGGTGTTCCCATTTGTTTAGTTTTTCAGTGCAAAGAAAAAATAAAGACCCAGGTCATTTTTTGTCTTTCTTTTTTCTCTCTTTTATCATTTCCCATTTTATACTCACATATCCTCTCACACCCTTCGCTTCCTGAGCTTGTGTATTTCCTCCTGCCAGAGTGATTACTTGCTCTTTAATCTGCCACCTTTATCTTGCGTCCTTCCTTCACTGTGTCTGCCACTCTCTATGTACCAGACTCTGTCCTTTCACTTCTTGCTGTAAAATGTTTTTCACTCTGTTTATTCTGTATAACAAATTTTTTTTGCAAAGCAAAGACTTCCTTTGTTGTTCTTGAACTTCCTTGCCCTGTGCTTTGCTTTTGAAGCCTTAAATTAACGCCATATTCAAAACTGAATGATCCATAGCTCATTCTACCTGAACCTATACCAGCCATTTGGTTAATATCAGCATGTATACATGTGGATAAGCAGCAAGTGCAAACGCTGAATTTCCTCATCTCATTAGGAAGTTTATCCTAACTGTACCTTTTATCATGTAGGAAATCTAAACAAAAGAATTCTGTATGCATTGCACTTATCAACAATGATGTATTTTACTGAAACCTGTGTACTTGTTTAGATATGATATCTGTTTACTGTGAATGACTTAAATAAAAGTACAATGTAAAATCACCAGGTTAACCAGCCTCTTACCTTTTCCTACTGTAAGTTCTCTTCATCTTTACTCCGTCTTCAGTTTGGGACTCATCCTCCTAAAACAGTCGATGAGAAAACTGTGAAGCAGAGATCCAGCTGTGTGCATGAAGTTAACTGATTTTTTATTACCACACTTGAAAATGGAAACACAGTCACAGCGTTCATGCTAGCAGGACTGCCTGCTCCTTACATACACTATCTCAGAAACAATAAAAGACGTAGGTTTTTACATTATAGATGTATATTCTTACCTCTGAGTACCCAACTGTATTTACTTCACAGGCTCTTTCTGGCATTCGCTGGACAGCAGCTTTAAAAGTGAAATTGTATTAAAAAAGACACAATTAAAAAGATGAAATTACCAAGTTTTACCAGTGTAAATGGCCACAGTGATGGATGCACACTGCTGAGTGATGTGGTTTTTTTTTTACCTGGACATTGCACTCCACTTTTTGAAAGTGAGTGAACAGGCTTCCTCTTTCTTGGCATATACAAAGGTGACATATCCCCTCCGATGTGGCCGGGGTCCATACTAGGAGGGCCAACTCTGCTCAGAAATCACCACTGACAGCATAAAAAAAAACAGAACATCTAATAAAACAGAAAACAGATACCTCTACCAAAATAGCACACGTTATTGAAATACCTTAATTTGGATATATTGTATTTGTTTCAGGATGGGATTACATGCTGGCTTTCTAATTACATCAAAAGTAATTACACAGCCTTAAACTGATTGGAGAACTGTAATGGATCACTGACCTTATTAATTACACGATCAAATATTTACAGAGCCCTACTTATTAAATGACCTCAGCTTGTTACATATAAAGTAGGTTGGGTTGGTCAACCAAGTACATCTGTTGGCTCATTTAACCATTTCACCATTAACCAACTACACCCCACCCTTTCCATTTTGTGATCCCCTACAGTTATGGGCAGCTTTCTGTTGTGATGTCTTCAGTATCATTTAGCTGTAGACTCTCTACTGGCTACCACAGCTGACAACAGTAGTTTTTGCTCTGTTTTGGAGATCTGCTGTGAGTTGGATGATCTATCTAAGGAGATGAAAAACTGCCCCGTGTGCCGTCGCAACATGCAGACTGTGGAATCCGAGTCCATCTGTGAGACCACAAACTCATCAGACAGGCAGCTAATTAAATTATTTTGCTAGAGTTATTAGAACATTTGCAGAAAGCACCAAATAAAATGTGTAATTCAACAACTAATTTAAGAATATATATTTAAAAGATATGCAGTTAGTGGGAATGCATTAAGTGGAAACTCTAATTTGCTCATAGGTGTGAATGTGAGTTCAAATGGTTGTCTGTGGCTATGTGTTAGCCCTGTGAAAAAATGGTGACCTGTCCAGGGTGTACCCTGCCCCTCGCCCTAGGCCCTCCAACCCCCCTTTTAGAAATTCTCAGAAACTCAGATGTTTTAAATTTGGCCAGAGTTGCTCAAATATAAACAAATTTGATGATGTGCTTGAATTTGTAGTTTTGTATTTACAAACATCCATCCATCGCTGCGGATGAATTATTTACAAACATCTGGAATTATATTAACAAATCCTCCAATACCAATAACATCTGTGAGCTATTGCAGACATATTGTGGATCAATAACTTATAAAAACATTACTATGCTGGCACGAGGTCATCCTGGGTTTATTACCAAGCTGTGATAAATGACACTGCTCAAAGGATTAAGGGAACGCTGGATCATCACAGTTTAATACAAACACATTTTAACTTCAGGGATATTAATGTGTCCAGTTAAGAAGCATAAATCATTTCACCTGGTTTGGTGCAAATGAAAGTGTCAGCAGGTGCAGCGGAGAGGCAACGAGACAATTCCCCAAAAAGGCAAGACCAATGCTCTCTTTTTATCCCTGCTGACTGATTTTTCTCTAGTTCTGCTTTTGTTAGAGTGTAAAAGGATTCACACTGGTCTAACTGGACACACTGATATCCTGAAGCTTCAGTGACTCTATTATATTGTTATGATCGAGTATTTCCTTAACTATCCTCAGCAGCGTAATCTAGAATTTAACAAAAATGAAAACAAACGGGCACGGGGTTAGAATCATTTAATTTTTCTTTCCATCCAGCTTCTGCTATTTAACCAATTCAAGGTAGCGGAGGCAGGAGCTTATCACTTATTCAGCTGCAAGAGGCGGGATGCACCCTGGATAGGTTGCCAGTGTTTCATGGCTAACACAAAAAAACAGACAATCACTCACACCTGAGGCCAGTTCAGAATCACCAGTTAACCTAACATGCATTATAAGTGTGATAGAAAGGCAGAGCACCCAGAGAGGCAAACTCCACACAGAAATACCCGACAGTGGATTCAAACCTTTCTGTTGTGAGGCAACAGAACTAACCACTGAACCACTGTGCTGCCTTATTTTTATTTAATTTTCTCGTTTAAGTAAGTTTTCTTTAGTTCCCAAAGAGGGTTTGCTTAGATTAGTGTTAAAAATGTTTCGTTTTAATTTAATTTGTTACTTTCAGTGCTCCATTTAATGTTTTTGCAATTCGGTTTTTAGGAAGTGAAGATCAAATATCACAACAAAAGTACCTTCTGCATGTAGCTCACTCAGATTCAGCATGTCCTGCACATTTTTTACTTTACTTTAGCTTTATGTTCTTTTTTCCTCCCAAATTCTAATTTTAATCTTTTTTTTAGATTAACTAAAACATTTGTGCGCCTAGTTTATAATAATTTTTTAAACAAATACCTGCATTTGTTTAAATTTTGACTTGAGACAAGTGTTGTTGTGATTTGGCCCAATATAAATAAAATTGAATGAAATTTAAAAAGCTGATTACAGTTATTATAATTAACTGAATCAAAGAGATCATACGTTATGTTTAAGACATTTATTCAAAACTAAGTCTCCTTTTTCTTAAAAATTTGTCTAGTAAACAAAACAAATATTTGCTGACATGAACTTAATGAGTCTTGCATAAGCAGCCATGCATATCAGCCTATTTACTCCCATTAGGGTTCGTTTAGCCAAATATTTACTCTCCTAGCCCCTTTCAATCATGCACTCTTTATATTTTTAACACTAAAATTCACACTTAGTATTGAATTATTATTTTAAATGCACACAGAAGTGATTACATTAATCATAATTATGCAGAGGAGACTTTTTTTAAAGAACCTGATGAATCTGGCTTCAGCACCCATTGTGTTTACAGTGCATGTGTTCATCCTGAATGTTATTTGTATAGTGCTTAAATATTTATGTGTCACGTTTGAGGACACTGGATGCCAGAAACTGTGATATGAAATAAAGCCAGAAAACTGTTAAAACGTCAAGTGTATGATGTTTTTCTCGGTCCAGTAAACCTCTGAGACCAGCCATTCCCGGACTGAGCCAAAAAGACTTGCAGCCACCACCATCATTGTCTGTGTGGATAAGGAAAAAACTCAAAAATTGGCTTTTTCACGACGACGGGCAGAAAAAAACATCCGAAAGCTGAAACTGAAGGAGAACTGGTGGTAGAAAGGTTTCAAGCTCCCCTCCCTCTAAGCAGAGGTACTATAACCTGTCCTGCTGCCTTTCATTGTTTCTTAGCGGAGGAAGAAATGCAAGAGAGAGAGACAGAGAGAGCGCCTACCGTCCTACAGCTCACTCCCTCTGCAAGGACGGCTAGCCTCCATGTCTTCGGGCCTGGCCTCCTCTGTCGCCTTTCCCCCGGCAGTGTTACCACCAGGAAGGCTAACATCAAGGAAGGCCCGGGGTTCAAAAACACAGACCCTGGGATAACAGCTAAGCTGTGGCAGCATCTAAATATGAATCAGTGCGCACGTACGCCGGCATAATTCACCACAGTGTGTTCGTATGTTCTTCAGCGGAACGCCCTCCTGCTGGAGAGAACAAATAAGACCCGCATCTGCCGCTGCCTTCACGGGCCGTGGGAAACACCGCAATTTCAGCGCTTCAGCTGTGGAATCTGAATCAATAGTACGCCTCGGAATAATACAAAGCCGTTACCACATAGTCTCTAATTATGAACCTGTTATCAAGTGGAAAAGCACTTAGTAAATGGTTTTTAAAATGTTGCATGAAGCATTGGGAGTAATGTTCCAAACTGAAAAATGGAGAGGAGACCACTGATACTTTTTTTTCTCTTCCTAACTCCCCGCCTCCGCATTATTACTTTCTACTTGTATAATATGGCACTTTTGAAAGATTGATTGAATGTTCAAATTCTACTAAATTGAACACTTTGAAATTCTGTGACATGTTCCTCTTATTTAAGTTTATTAAATTGAATACTTTGGATTAATTTTAACTAAGCACCTAACATTAGGTAAGCAACTCTTGAAAGTGTAACTCCATTACCTTTTTGTGACTTACAAGATGATTCGATTTCAATTAAAATAACAATAATAATAATAGGTTTAATTCAGGTAGCTTACTTAAAAACTTTACATTTTTACTTGTTATTTTCTGGCAACGTAATAGCCATTTCGTTCATATCCAAGGTTTTGATTATTGTTTCGAAAAATTGTTGGACTAGGAAACTGTAATTGAAATTAAATTGTCACTATTTGCTTAGCCCTATAGTAACTTCAGTCAAGTTTTTTTTCTGTCATTGTTACATAGTTTTTTTTTGTTTGTTTTTTTCATTTTACCTCTTCAGACCCTGTGTCTTCATGTAGGCACATTACATTTTAGCTTTTCTTCAACTTATACTTCATTCTGCTCATTAGTATTTTATACTTAATTTATTGTTTTGTTGCAAAATAAACCAATAATTCCTATATGAGGAATTAAAAAGTAATGACTCTCCTAAAATGAAGCTTATACATTGCACACATTGCCAGACTGAGAAAATCTCTGTTTAGCTTATTTTTTCCACACTTGCACACACTTACAAATAAAGTTATTTACCACTGAAACATTAATAAATAAATACATTTATTAATCAGCTTATAATCCAGTTAAGAAATGTAAGGTAAGTATGAGGAGAACCAACATTTTATCACTGCCACATTAGAGTTAGACTGTGGACAGCATTATAATATGAAATAAATGTGTCATTGTTAAACATGCAGACTTTAGTAGTCAGGGGGTTAATAATAGCCACATTAATTGATATAGACTGAAGCAAGGGACAAGTTTTAATCGATGATGATCTAAAGCTATATGAAATAAACCAAATGACATGTTATCATTCTGATCTATTGCATACACAATCAGAAAAACTTTCAGTAAGTACACAACAATCATTTAACAGAGGCCCATTTCTACAGTAACTGAAATCACCTCATTGCCAATACCGCCTTACTCTTAAACCACAATTTGATCCAGTTTTAAAGAGTAAACCCCATCATCTGTTATTGATGCAGAATTTCAGTGTCACGCTAAAGACTAAATATTCTCATTTTGGCATTACAACTCAGCGTTAATAAAATAGCTATTCATTCAAACTGCTTCAGTACCTACTTAAAGGTAACAATTTGAAGGAATATGTAACACCTAATCCCCTCAGAGATGAGATCTGGTTTTTAATATTTTACTGTCACGGTTTAGCTCCAATTAAATCCTTCCAAGATGACAATGCTTGGACATAGGAGTTAAAAATTATATTAATTTTGGACTGATGTTATGGAAAGTGCTCTCCACTGCCATCAAAGCACCAAATAAAGGATAATCTTCTAAATGAGTGGGGCTGGAATCCTCCATTACAATTTAAAAGACTTGGGGAATCATGACAATGTTCACCAGATGGGACCCAGACACATTACTGAGACACTTTATTGTTTTTTCTATTAATTTGTCACTAGTACAATTCTTTTTGTTTGTTTGTTTTTTGTTTGTTTTATTTATTTATTTTATGATGGCTGAAGAATTTACCTTCAGTTTCAAAAATTTGATTCTTAAAGTTAAAACTACTTTCAAGTCTTATTTTTATTTGATAGAATTACAGTGGCTTGCAAAAGTATTCGTCCCCCTTGAACTTTCCCACGTTTTGTCACATTACAGCCACAATGACTCAATTTTATTGGAATTCCACGTGAAAGACCAACACAAAGTGGTGTACACGTGAGAAGTGGAACGAATATCATACATGATTCCAAACATTTTTCACAAATAAATAACTGCAAAGTGGGGTGTGTGTAATTCTTCAGCCTCCTTTGGTCTGAGTGCAGTCAGTTGCCCATAGACATTACCTGACGAGTGCTAATATGTGTGTAATCTAATGTCAGTACAAATACAGCTGCTCTGTGACGGCCTCACAGGTTGTCTAAGAGAATATTGGGAGCAACAAGACCACAAAGTCCAAAGAACACACCAGACAGGTCAGGGATAAAGTTATTGAGAAATTTAAAACAGACTTAGGCTGCAAAAAGATTTCCCAAGCCTTGAACTGTTCAAGCGATCATTCAGAAATGGAAGGAGTATCTCACAACTGTAAACCTACCAAGACAAGGCCATCCACCTAAACTCACAGGCCGAACAAGGAGAGCGCTGATCAGAAATGCAGCCAAGAGGCCCATGGTGACTCTGGACGAGCTGCAGAGATCTACAGCTCAGGTGGGGGAATCTGTCCATAGGACAACTATTAGTCGTGCACTGCACAAAGTTGGCCTTTATGGAAGAGTGGCAAGAAGAAAGCCATTGTTAACAGAAAACAATAAGAAGTCCTGTTTGCAGTTTGCCACAAGCCATGTGGGGGACACAGCAAAATGTGGAAGAAGGTGCTCTGGTCAGATGAGACCAAAATGGAACTTTTTGGCCAAAATGCAAAACGCTATGTGTGGCAGAACACTAACACTGCACATCACTCTGAACACACCATCCCCACTGTCAAATATGGTGGTGGCAACATCATGCTCTGGGGTGCTTCTCTTCAGCAGGGACAGGGAAGCTGGTCAGAGTTGATGGGACGATGGATGGAGCCAAATACAGGGCAATCTTGGAAGAAAACCTCTTGGAGTCTGCAAAAGACTTGAGACTGGGGCGGAGGTTCACCTTCCAGCAGGACAACGACCCTAAACATAAAGCCAGGGCAACAATGGAACGGTTTAAAACAAAACACATCCATGTGTTAGAATGGCCCAGTCAAAGTCCAGATCTAAATCCAATCGAGAATCTGTGGCAAGATCTGAAAACTGCTGTTCACAAATGCTGTCCATCTAATCTGACTGAGCTGGAGCTGTTTTACAAAGAAGAATGGGCAAGAATTTCAGTCTCTAGATGTGCAAAGCTGGTAGAGACATACCCTAAAAGACTGGCAGCTGGAATTGCAGCAAAAGGTGGTTCTACAAAGTATTGACTCAGGGGGTTGAATAATTACACACACCCCACTTTTCAGTTATTTGTAAAAAATGTTTGGAATCATGTATGATTTTCGTTCCACTTCTCACGTGTACACCACTTCGTATTGGTCTTTCACGTGGAATTCCAATAAAATTGACTCATGTTTGTGGCTGTAATGTGACAAAATGTGGAGAAGTTCAAGGGGGCCGAATACTTTTGCAAGCCACTGTATTCAGTCTAGATAAGCAGAGAAGAATTTAGCTCATACAAACACACCATGTAAAAATATAGTAATTACAGAATGCTAAGCATCAGTTTTCTCTGTCAGTGTTTCTCAGTTGTAAATCATGATGAACAACATTTAATTCCAACCGAGCACAGCATGAGCTCACTGAACAATAACGCTCAACTACAGAGGAGGGAAAAGAGAAAAATAGAAATCAGCTGGTGGGGTGTTTGTTTGGAGCGGCAAGTCAGCTACTGATCATTTCTGAAACCTACACCACTGATGCCTTCTGAGCTTCTATGAAGTTGTCTTTAAGGACACAGAAAGTGGAACTTGTGACCCAGATCTGTCCATTTTCTTAACAACACATCCAGCAGTGGGTTACAGGTAAATCACAAGTGCAACATTTCATTGCTTATTTTTTTTATTTTATTTTTATTTTTTACCAGAGAAGCTACATTCGTACAGATTCATTATTCTTTGTGAATGTATCATTCGCATATGTTTCAGTGTTTACAAATGACAAAGTTTTCAAGCAGACCATGAAGGCATCAGCAGTGAAAAAGCCTGGGACTTGGGGGCGGGTCCCTCTCACAGCACTCTTATTTGTAAGGAGATGTTGAGTAGGAGATGTCTATAGGAAGCTTTTATATACTCACTGACCACGTTATAGGGTACAGCTATGTCTACTCCCATTTACCTCTGCTTCAAAGTCTTTTTTAATAAAAAAAATTGTCTTGTTATTGTTGGCAAGAAATGTTTGTAAAATAAAATGTTATGAAATGTACAAATCATTGCATTATTTATTTACATTTTACACAGTGTATCAAATGTTTTGGAAATGGGGTTGTAGATGCACATATGCAATTAAAGTTAACTGCAGGTGCAGCAACAAAGTGGTTTACATGTTAATGAATCTATAATTGTGATCCGGGAACACAATGATATGATTCTGCATAATAGTTTTACTTAAGCTGCGTTAACTATATTTTGAAGGATGAAGATGCATGGAGCAGAGGTAGTATTAGTCTAAATATCCAGGGTTAACCACTCAAAGCACAAGAGAGGTGAAGAAGAAAATGGAGGCCGGGTGGTGAGTGGCAGGAATGGATAACAAGGAATAGCAATTTCAAAAAAAAAATGTTAATAACATGATATATGGTTTGGACAGTATCACTGACAAAAAGGCAGGAAGCCAATCTGGAGCTGACAGAAATAAGATTTTCCGTGAGTGGCCAGTTTGGACAGGATTGGAAATGAGTATATCTGAGGGACAGCTGAGGTTTAGCAGTTGGAGACAAAGAAGCAGATTATGTACTGGGCAGACACCTGAAGGGGCAGCTGAAAGAAGACAGGAAGGAAGGAGAAGGGAGCAACTAGTTGCAAAAAGATCTAGAAG